GAAGATTAAAAGAAAGGAAACATACCTCTGAACCTGTCCCACTAAAACTGTTACTGTAGCATCTCTGGTACAAAGCCTAGCTTCATTTTCACCAACGGTTAAAATGAATAACATAAATGAAGCTAGGGCTTTGTACAAGAGATGCTACAGAAATTTAAATACCCTGATGAATGGGAAGCTTCATCTTTAGCCCACTCCTGCCAAATCGCAGGGCCCAATGGGAACAAACCACTCATAGTTTCCCTCGCTTGCCTTAGCTTATCAAGTTCACCCATTTTCCTCGAAAGCTTAATGTACTGAGGGAAAAAGAATGTAAAATAGATAAAGAAAAACGAAAAAAAAAAAGGGTAAAAAAAGAAAGCTTTAGCGATTTGTGAGGAAGTTTAGATAGAGATAGATTGACAGAATTAATTACCCAAATGTGGGCGTCATAGTTGGAGGGATTGGTGGAGAGCTAGGATTGTAAGTTTTGCAGCTCAACAGCCTGCTCTGCTTCGTTTTCGGAGTCACTAGAATCCGAATCATCTGAATCGGATACGGTGTGGGCAGCCGCCATCTCCGCATCTGCGATATGTTGTCGGGAAACAGGAATCGGCTGTGATTCTTCTCCTTCCATAGGCGTCTCCTTCCCTTCCCCAAGGGTTTTTTTCGAACAATTAGGGCATTTTACCTGTATATATAGGGGAGGGGGGAAATGAGGTCCGTGGGCTCAAACACGCCACCTAAATAACAGCACTAATATAAGGTCCAATGTCATTGGGCCCGTTCAGCACTAATATAAGGTCCAATGTCATTGGGCCTGAACGGGCCATTCCCTTCCCCAAAGGTTTCAAGTTTTATTTTTTAACAAAGGAAATATTCAAATGGGGACCCAAAAACAAAAGGGTTTCATTTTTTTTGCTGGCAAAAAAGGTTTCATTTATTTAAAGTTATGTCCGTATTGATTTTATGTTTTTTATTTAAAACTATAAAAATTATTTTTTTTAAATAATAAAATAAAATTTATGATTTTTTTTATTTTTGAATGTAATGCATTCATAAGTTACATCTACACCACCATCCCCTAAATTTTTTT